CCTATTAAGTTGCATTATACTGGTTTACATGGAAAAATCCCTATTAAGTTGCATTATACTGGTTTACATGGAAAAATCCCTATTAGGTTGCATGATTACACTGAAGTCCTTGAAACTGCTGAAGTCCTTGAAACTGCTGAAGTCCTTGAAACTGCTGAAGTCCTTGAAACTGTTGAAGTCCTTGAAACTCTTGAAATCTTGAAACTGCTGAAATCCTTGAAACTGTTGAATCCTTGAAACTCGTTGAATCATTGAAACTGTAGAAATGTCTGAAAGAGCTGAAGTCCTATTAAAATGCATGGGCCTATTAAAATGCATTGCAGAATTCTCAATGCAGATTTTTGTCCGATTGCGGAAAAACCGGAAATCGCTGAAGTCCCAAAAGTAATAGCAATAATCTCCCAAACATGTGGAACGTTTTGATGTATAACTTGTGGAAATTGTTGAAAATGTGAAAGCTGTGAAACGTGTCAAAAAAAATGACGGAATAAAGAAATACAAAACCAATGGTTGACTGCGGAAGGTTCCGCAGTCAATCAATAACTGCAATGAAATATTGACCGATATCTCACATTTCTCTCCATTTCACACTTTTATACGGTCTGGAGTTTTGACAGATGTTTATGATAACATTTCGTCGGGTATAAAACACAGCACCCAATTTAAACAGAAGACAGAGAAGATCCGCCACCTGCTCGAAAATGTATTGAATTATATCACAGCGGGGATATGAAGATTAATCATGCTAACATTTCATAAACCGGATATCAAAAGCTTTGTGACCAAACAGGAGGTCTTGGCTCCATTTTAGTCAACATCCGAACCAACAAAGTTTTGAATATATACGCGTGTCCATTAGTGTCCATAAGCTGAAAGCAAATGATGACATTAGGAGGGTCATATAGCATCCGCAGTTTTAAACATAAATGCTCCGAATGCATGTGTCCAAGTTGATGAAACTCCAGTTGGATATTTCAATTCAAAAATATTTACATTATTACCATTTAAACAAAAGAACTCAACGGCTATCTACTTCACAAGAAATCTCGCCCGCGAAAATTCAATTTGGTAGAACGTTAACCAAAATTTACCCCCTCTCAGGCCGGCTCTAATACCCCAGCCTATTGCTCAGCAACGCCCCCTCCCAATCATCTGTACCGACTCCGCACCAGCAAATAAAAAAAATGAGCAACTCCCACTGAGACCGGCCTCCTGAAGCCTCGCAGGCCCTTCACCTCGCAAAGAATCGTCTGGAGGAATCGCTTTGTCTACTCACGCTTTCTCGGCGTGTCCCTGCAGCCTCTGTCTTGCTGACGTGTGTCTGCCTCCTCCTCTCAGCAACCTGCTGCGTTCTCGTCTGGTCCGTGTCTTTGCCGCTCTCCTCCTTTGCGGGCTCTTCCCGGGTTTGCCGCTGCTCGTCTCGTCGCGGCCTGCCTGCTGCATACGCCGGTCCTAGCCCGGTGCGGTGGAGCCGTGCGCATCCCTGCCTCCTTGGCCAGGTACGGTGTGGTCACCGTTGTGTTGGCCAGGTTCCTGTGTCTTCTGGCGCCGTGGGTAATAGGAAATCCGCGGACGGTTATTCCCCTCGGCATAGTTCTGCAGGCTCAGTTGGGGCCCCGTGCTGGTGGGCAGGCTTCAGTTTAAAGCCCTCGCATTGGTCTGCAGCTCTCTTTAACCAAGCCTCCGTTAATCTTCAAATCTGACTGCAAGCTCCTTATATCCTCACCGTTGACTGCAAGACCTCAGTTATAATCCCTCTCATTGGACCGCATCTCTCAGTTTTAATCCCTCACTTGGCCTGCAGCTCTGTTTAAATCCCTCTCCTGGACTGCAAGCCGCTGTTTAAATCCCTCACATTGGACTACATGCTCTCAAGTTTTAATCCCTCACTTTTGGCCTGCAGCTCTGTTTAAATCCCTCCCCTGGACTACGAGCTCGTTTAAATCCTCACTTGTGGACTGCAACGGCTGTTGTAAATCGCAATCTCGACTGGCGGCTCCCAAAATGGAATATCCCTTAACATTGGTCGTGAGCTCTCAGTTAATCCCCTCCGGAACTGCGACATCTGGAAATCCTAATCAGGAATATGCCTATATCTGGAAATGCCTATATCTGGTAGTACATATAGCTGGAAATGCTTATACCTGGAACAACTTATATCTGGAAACTGCTGTACCGTATCTGGAACGGCTTTCATATGGGAACTGCTTAATATATGGGAACCCGCTATAATTGAACGGCCATAGGTACGGTTATACCTGGAACTGTTATGCAGTACATTGAACTGCAATATATGGACTGCCTTATCTGGAACGCTAATTTAGTAAAAATAAATAAATTAATACATATAAATCAATATAAATAAACATAAATAACATAAATAAATAATGAATACAATTTAAAAAAAAAATAAATAAAAAAAATAAAAAATGAAAAAAATAAAAAAAAATAGTTTATTCTCCTCACTTGGACTGCGGCTCATCATCCCTCACTATGACCGTAAAACCTTTAAATCATTGGACCGTAAAAAACCTGTTAAATCCCTCCCACTGGAACAGCTACAACAACATTTCTAACTGTCCGTGGCTTTGATACAGGATCATTGCTGTTATTATCTACGGACGCAGCCAGCGGCTGCTGCTGCTATACTGCTGCTAGCTGTTCATACGGCGACGACTCGCTGCTGCTGCTGCGCACCATACTGCTACTAGCCTACTACGCTGCTCTCATTTACTTGCACGTCCTCTTCACTTGCATTCTCTTTTACTGAAACCGATCAACTACGACAACATTCTACGCAGTGGCTTGATACAGATTATTACTGTAATTCTCTAAGGATGCTGCTACTGCTGCTAGCTGCTAGCTGCCGGCGGCTTGTAACAGGTATATCCCGTTATTTATCTGAGGTACTGCGTGCGGCCGCTGCTATGCTTCACGCTACAACTAATGCTACCTCCAGCTACTCGCTGCAACCCACTCTCTCCAGAAGCTTATCCTGTTTCTAAAAGGATGCTGCCCAGGCAGTGTATGCGCGCAGCGCTGGGCCTCGTACCTATGCTCCGCCAGGTCGCATCGGCGGTCATAGCTTCATCTCTCTCTTGCCTGAATCGTCTGATTCTAATCAATGCAGCTTGCCGAGGTAGCTGCGCTGAGCCGTCAATCGTACTCCTAATCAAGGCATCCATACCTGTATTCTTCAACTCTTTCTGATCGCAGATCCCCCGTCGTGCAGCCCAACCTGCAGACGGCTCTGAGCGCACGAACTCGGCCTCGTCTCCAAGTACATGTCTGCCTCCTCGCAGCAACGTTCCTGCTCGCCTTCCAAGACTTCTCTGCATAAGCGTTCACTACTGCTCCGCTCAACCTTCATGCGTCCGAACGCGGCTTCCGACATCCTACTGATCCTGATTATCTACTCTCCCAACCCAGATTTCTAAGCGTAAGGGCGCCTGCAACATCAATGGCCTCTCCGACATGAGAGTCTCTGCCCCTACATGTCTCCGCTCTACACGGTACGTGCCCCTTCCGTGGTTTGGGGGATTCTTACCAGGACCATTGGTTGCCGGGCCGTGCCGCTACTTTCCACCGGAGCATCTCCCTCTGCCCTATCACAGATATTCCCAGTGGTCGTAGGCCTGCGCGCACGTGAAAACACGACTGCAGAGAAAGAGGATCTATGTCATGCGCGATAATCTCGACGTAGTGGAAGCATCACACAAAGGTCGATCTTTTTCACCCAACAATAATGTCCCCTGACCCGTTCAACCTCAATCTCAAACATTCAAAGACCCAAGCGCCTGCAACATAAGAATAGCTTTCGCTCCAGACACATCACCTCCAACAACCTTCCATTGACAGCAACCTGGTCAAGCTCAACTAAGATCACCAACTGCTCCTCTCAAGCGTCTCCCCAGCTCTATACAGCCCACTCCTTCAGGATAAGGCGCTGCCACCGCAGCGGCACTCGCTGGGGCTCCCCCACCGATCCCAACAGCTGGGGCTGGGTCCTCTTCGCTGTTCTCCGCCTACATCAGCCCAGACGCTCCGCCATCCTGCTGCACAACGCCTACTGGCTCCTTCTCGCAGCTCCACAAAGCATTACAAGCAAGTTAAGTGAAGCAATAAGATTCCTGTGGCGGCGCGCCTTCTCAAACACTCTCCGCTGCCGCAGAGTCTGACGAATGTGATGCGTACGCTCACAGTTCCCATCGCGCACAAAATAACCACCTTCATGTATTATCTGGTGTTTCTCAAGAAACTTTTCAAGCAGAGAGTTAAAAAGCTTTTCAAGAATTTTTGAAAATTGAGGCAATAAAGAGATTGGTCTATAGTTTGTGTAACTGTGTTTATTATTATTTTTGAAGAGTGGTACTACTTTTGCAATTTTCATTTTTTGTGGAAAACAACCAGACTGGAAGGATAAGTTGCAGATATAAGTTAGTGGTTTTACAATATTGAACACGACCTTCTTAACTACCATCATGCTGATATCATGACAGTCAGTAGATGTCTTGCTTTTACATTTTGAAACAATGCTAATTATCTCCAGCTCATCTGTAGCAGATAAGAAAAAAGACTGCGGATTCTGATTGATTGTTGAAAAACATTCCTCAGTTCTATAGTCTGGAATTCCAGCAGCTAACTCAGGCCCTACATTAACAAAAAAATTATTAAATTGATTAACTATATCATTCATATTGTAGTTGTCTCCATTATTGTCAGTGAAGTAATCAGGATATGACGACTTTGATGATCCTTGTTCGATTAAACTATTCAGTGTATCCCAAGTTCCTCTTATATTGTTTGTATTTTCATATATCTTTTGTTTATAATACAACTGTTTGCTACTTCTTATGATGTCAGTTAATTTATTCCGGTAAGTCTTATATATTTGTTCCGCCTCTTTTGTTTTTACTTTGATGAACGATTTATAGAGATTATTTTTCTTTTTACAAGCATTTAGTATTCCTTTATACATGGAAGGTGGTATAGGTCGGTACCTTTCTTTGGTGGGAGGGGCGTCTGCCGTGTGAATACGATGCTGAACCAAGTCAGTCCTCCCAAAATCCTCTTCATTTGTAGCAAAAACCTTTCTCCACTTCTGGAGCAGAGCCTGGAGCTCCAGCTGTTGTTGATGGGTCAAATGAGGGCAGTCAACGAGCTTGTTCACCCCCTCTTCGGTGTGTTCCTCTTTGGAGTCCGGAGTGTCCACTAGGCCAACCTCTACAACACCATCCGGACCCATGGTCAGGCTCAGGTCACGGGCTCCCTGAACATCAGCCTCCTCCACGTGGTATAACCGGCCCAGCTTCTGATAGCGTCCTATATAGACTGGGTACAATTGTGGGTTACAGACACGGACAGGGACCCTCCCGCCTCGCACCACAGATAGGGTTCTGGCTATTCCCCATGCTTCCGCTTCAGGCATAGCCTCTAGAACTGCAGCATAATCAGCCCCACACGGCCCACTGGTCGTCCGGCCCCACACAAGAATCTCACTTTTTGGTGGTACCCGAACCGGTCGCCGGCCTGCAGGTCGGACGTAGCCCAAAAACCCATCTCCCGGTGGTGGCGCGATGGTCCTCCGGCACACAGCATACGCTTCTCGCCACACCTGCTGGGACTCCCATCTCTTGGGGGAAAGAGCTGGCTTCCCCTGCTTAAAAACAGCATCCCAACATGCACCAATCACATTCATTCCAATGAGCAGTGGATGAGTAGAGCAGTCATCCTTGACAATAACACCCTTCTCTGGGATCTTTACGCCTTCCACTTCAAAGTCCATTATTGCATAACCAGAATATGGTATGCTAAGGCCATTTGCCGCCCGGAGCGTTAACACCAAGGGGGCTGTACCCTCCTCAACCTGAGAAAAATGCTGTTTCATAACTTTTTGTTGAATTAGTGTAACTTGTGAGCCTGTGTCTAATAGCCCCATCATTTTCACCCCACCAACACAAACTTCAATGGTTGGGCATTTTCCAACAAATTGAGTGGTGGCCCCCTGATGGTTAGCATCAGGGGCCATCCCTACTGCTTGGGCCTCAGCAGCAGGGGGGGCTAGTTTAAAGATTGTGTATTAGAGGAATTTCTGCAAAATCTTGACATATGTCCTGCCTGTTTGCACTGCCTGCATATTGGTTTGCCATCGGTTGTCCATTCATTAGAATTACTCCGACCTCCTTGCCTTGGTCTGGGTTGATAGCGCCTAGGGGAAAGGTCTAGCCCAGAGTGTTGTACAAGCGGTTTTATTTCATTAATGATTTCTTGAGCAAGTCCTTTCATCTGGTCCTTAACATCGCTCAGAATTTCTGGTTTTAGGGCTTCCCTCCAACTAGGTGTAGGCGGTGTGAAATGTCGAGACTCACCCACAGCAGCGGCGCATGTCGTATCAATACCTCCTTGTCCACGCTGTTCTTGTTCCAGAAGCAAGGCCTCATTGTGTATGGCAGTAAAATCCAGGTCAGGATTTCGGCGTACATATGTTCGGAGGGTTTGAGACAGCGGCCCTTCTCTTAGTCCCAGAAGCATTTGGTCCTGCAGATTGCTTTCGGAGGGTGCGTCATCAGGGCTGTGCCGCCGCAGCTTACAATACAATTCCCTTAAACGAAGGGTGAAAGATTTAACAGACTCAGTAGGTTTCTGTATGCAACCAAAAAATGTAGACCTAAGTGCAGCAATTGAAGTATTATCACCATACAGCGAGTCGAGGTACGTAAAAATTTTCACACTCGTGTCCCGCTCTCCAACATCTAATACATTAATCTGTGATTTGGCCTCTCCAGCTAAAGCTCCTAGAAGTCCAGTTTTCCTAGGTTCAGTCAGATCCTGTGCATTTAAAATGCCACACATTTGTTCCTTCCAGTCCCCATACTTAATGTCACTGTTTGGCCCATGAAACTTTGGTAACCATGGTGCACCGGGATAGATTGGCATCATCATCATTTTACCACCAATAGACTACAAAACCTACAACAAAACAGTTTTTTGATTGTTACACTGCTCGTGCTTGAATCCTGCCAGCAGCGCCAAATTATGTCAGGTGGCACAGGTTTAAAACCGACAACGCCACCTATAGGAATCCTCTAAAAACACTTAAAACAAGGCAAGCAGTGTAACCAATCAAAAAAACCCTTAGGATGATCTTAAGAAATAATTTATTACAAAAACTAAAAAACAGTGGATAATGATGCCAATAAGAAAATAAAATAGGAGCTCGTTAAAACTGGTGGGGGTGTGGACGGCCAGCTTGCACGTGGGCTGGTTCCAGCTGTGTTGTGGCGGAGTCTCTGTGGGGCAAACAAAGCAAGAGGCAGTAACGCGTTCCTTTTATCGAATAGGGCTCAGAGTCATGCAAAGTGTATCCCGCCAGAGTATTAGAGCGTTACTTACACGCAGGGGCAGAGTTACTCTGCCCGCCTGCTGTGATCAGCGTCGTGCCCTGGCTTCACCGGTGCTGCCGTCTTCGATCAGTCGCTCCTCCTGCTCTCCGTAGTCCTGCCCGTGCCCTCGTCAGCCAGACCGTTCTCCCTTCATGCCCCGCTCCTCGTGCTCTTAATGTCTCACTGTCCAATAAAATCCACCCCCCACGCCACCAGCACCCCAGCTCATTGGGTAAAACTAGGTTAACAAGGTCTGTCACAGGTGCGAGGGTCCAGGCAATTCAAACAGGAAGTAAAAAGCACAACAATATACAAATAGTAAAACACTTCAAAATAAAAGTACAAACACACAGCAACGTCAAATGTGCAAATTTATCATCCTGTGACATCAAGTCACACTTATTCACCACTATACGTTGTGAAATGAATAGAAAATAGAGCCAAGACATTGACAAGGTTGGAAATAATGATTTGATTATTTGACGAATAAGATTTGTTTTACATCCAACAGGGGCGACAGTAGCTCAGTTGGTAGAGCATTGGCCTTTGGGCCTGAAGGTCATGGGTTCAAGCCCACCATAAAACCTACTTCACGACTCCCACTGATTACTGCAAGACACTTAACCCCACTTTGCCTGAAGCTCCCACTGAAAGACCTCAGCTCCTGTGGACTCACCACCTGCAGGAGGATCAGTGAGGGGCTGGTGCTATATGTGTACTGGGTGCAGCTCTGACTGCCACCCCCCGACCCAGAAATGGATTAAGGGGAAGAAAATGGATGGATGTTTTACATCCAACTTTCCTTTCGTCAAAGAATCCTCCATTTGCAGCAAATTACAACATTGCACCAAAAACCAGACATTTGCAGCTAGAATAGTCATTTACCACATAAGCAATGTATAGAGTGTATTTCTTTACAGTTAAGACTAGTTTAAAGTTATCTACAGTGCTTTTCCTTCAAAAATAAGGACATTTCAATGTGACCCCAAACTTTTGAACGGTAGTGTATGTATTGACTCACAATGTATTCATTCAAGATCATGTATTAAAGTGGACATATCGTGTTTTCAAATAATTGATTTTTACATCTAAATCATTAATTTGTGGTCTATATAAAGCGTAACTGCAATGCCTGGGTCTGAGTCTCATTATTTGTAGCTCCACGGGCCTTTCTTTTACACCTGTTCTGAGGTGCGTCTGAGAGCAACCTGTTTTGGTGCTGTCTCTTTAAATGCAAATGAGGCGCTTTTGACCACGCCCCCATCCAGGTGACACAGGTTCAACTCCACCCCGAGCGGCCATTTTTGTAGTTACTAAGCACAGATACAATTATCTCATAGAAACTTCTCATTACATCGCAAACATGAAGCAGGCCTTCCTCATTGACTGAAAGCAAATGTTAATTTTCATTCTTAGTCCACTCTTATTATCGACTCTTCTCTTTTTAGCTTTGGGATCCATGCACACAGTCAAGGCAAGGAAAGGAAAGTTATTTATATAGCACAATTCATACACAAGGCAATTCAAAGTGCTGAACAAAATATGAAAACATTGAAATCATAAATAATCACAGAACATTAAAAAGAAAGATAAAAATATAAAATCCCACAGTTGTATGCACAGCTAATCAGAACTGTTTTTAACCTGGTTTTAAACATTGTCAGAGAGGAGGCCTGTCTCACATCTTCAGGAAGACTGTTCCAGATTTTAGCAGCATGAATCTGAAAAGCCTCCCCATGTTTAGTCCTGACTCTGGGCACTAACAGGAGTCCAGTCCCTGTGCTCCTCAGAGTCCGGGCTGGTTCGTATGGTACTAACATGTCACTAATATATTTTGGAGCGAGGCCATGGAGAGACTTGTAACAAGCAGAGCTCACATGCCGGTTTGTTTACAACAGCGGCCGCCTGGCGCGGGCCTACGTCGCAGGATAAGACGCACTACTGTTAGGATTTAGCAGACAGAGACGGATCGTGGTGTGCCAAACTCTGGAAGTTTATTTAAGTTTCTCTCAAGTTCCACTGGTTTACTCTGTTTCTTTCTCTCAGACAGAATAAAGGCAGTACACAGTTTATATAGTCATTGTCACGTCACACATCGAAAGACATACGTGTCACAAAGAGACAGTCACATCATAGTCATAACATGGAGTCCTTGTACAGTCCTGCACGTAGGCCATATTTCTATCTAATACTAACACCCTCCCCTTTGATCACATAATCACATGTGATCATTCAATTTGATCAATCAATAAAGTGGAAAAAGAAAAAAAAAATTCTAAAAAAAAACTTTTAAAAATTATTAAAAACAAAGAAAATGTATGCATTAAACTCATAATCATCAAATCAATATCAGTGGATTTTATCCTCTATCCTGGGAAAAAATAAACAAACAAACAAAAACAAATCAAAAAATAAAAACAAACAAAAAACAAAAACAAATATAAAAACAACAAACACTATTGGACACACAAGAACTCAGCAGATTCAGTCAAAACACAGACAAAAACGAGCTGAGTCTCAAATTTGAAGCTAATTTCACTTTTATTACTCTATACTTTTATTCTAATGCTGATTGTTTACACTTCACTCAATCTTATTTCACTGTATTATTATCACTAATTCTAATCTTAGACTGTGTACTTTACTTTTACTATTCACTATAGTTTAAAACTATTCTAATCTATTCACAAATGTTTGTATATTTGCTTCTATTGAGCCATATTCTTAAACATACATTTTAATCTAATAAATCTCTCTGTGGTATTATACTCTTATTATCAGTGGCATATTATCAGTGGGATTTTGCTCTATGTCTACTCTCATTCTCAGGAATAAAACTGTGAACACAGTAAGGCAAATGGTCAACATTTACACTTCTAAAGTGGTCAGGGATTTATTACTTTTTATTATCTAAAGATATTATTGTCAGGCAGTTTGGGATGAATGAACATCATTAATCAAATTAGTATTATCCTTACAAGAGCTAATCTATTTTAGCAGGTTTGGGGTTGGGGTCAGTTATTCTACAATGGTGTTTGTGGATTGTTCACATGAATGTATATAAAGTTTCGTCTATCTGCAGGAGGGAGGAGGGGCCATGCATTAAATAGCTAGTCACTAGTAGTAAATTGGGTAACTAAACCAGTTGTTGCATTTCGAAGTGCAGCCAGAAAGAAAAGGGGCCCCGAATGTGAAGACTGCAATTGGTTTGAAGTGAGGTGGAGCTATGAACGAATGGAAAAGTGATGTTCATGCGTATCTGGCCATAACCAAAGCAGAAGATGGCTCCAGGGACATCTGTTTTCGCGTGGGAATGTTCGGATTCGGTTTGATTTATTCCTCAAGGCTCTTAAACAACCATGGGGCACGGTTTCTCTGACCGCCGCTGCTGCGGTCCCTGCTGGCCGTTCCGACTGATGCCTGATCCCGCAGATGCTGTTCCCGCTGCTGCCTGCTGCTGCCGCTCCTCTAGCTGCCTGTCCTTTTTGTTGTGTTTGTTTGTTTCTGCTGCCTGCTCCTCTGCTCCTCTACTACATGTACCCGCTGCGCATGTTTCTCTGCCGCTGGCCGCTCCGCGGGCTCCCGGGCGGCATGTACTTTGGACATCCCTCTTCATTCGCATCTCTTTTGTACTGAAATGCACTAAACAGCTACAAAACACTATATTTCTATGCTTGGCTTTGATACAGGATTATTGCTGCTCATTATCGACGGATGCTCAACCTGCTGCTGTGCTGCTGCTGCTTCATACTGCTACTGCGCTCCTCCCTAATGCTGCTGCTGCTGCTTCATACTGCTACTGCTACTGCTGCTGCTTCATACGGCTACTGCTGCTACTACTGCTGCTGCTGCTTCATTTACTTTGCCATCTCTCTTCACTTCGCATCTCTTTTACTGAAACCCTGAACAGCTACAACAACATTCTACTGCTGTGGCTTTGATACAGAATTATTACTGTTATTTTTCTAAGGACGCTGCTGCTGCTGCTGCTGCTGCTGCTACTGCTGCTGCCGCGGCTTGATACAGGACTTTTGCTGTTATTATCTGAGGCTACTGCTGCTGCCGCTGCTGCTACTGCTACTGCAACCCACTCTCTCAGA